CACGCAGACTTAACATTTTTAATTTTTGTAATTTTTGGTGTTTATATTTCTTTAACGGCAATTTCATACCATCTAAAACTCTGTCTGTTTACGATATATAAACACCAAAAACTAAAAAAAAGGAATAAATGAATGTTAAGTTTGCATCACTGCCCTATGCCATCTCGCCTACCTGCTCGCGGTCCTCCTGCGTCCGCGGCCACAGCGACACGGCGAGCACGATCTCGCCCATGTACTCCTGGCTGTCTGGCTTGCCGGGGTCCTTGAGCGGCAGGCAGAGCTCCGTGTGCCGACCCAGGTCCAATCGAGTCAGATCCAGCACCGCGGAGCCCATGAAGTCGTCCTGCAGGCCCCAGTCGTAGTCGAACACCTGTGGGCGAGAAAGGAGCATTAGCAGGCGATTCTATTCGGAACAATGTAAAAGATTTTTAAAGTCCGATTTCATCATAAAATTTTGAAAAAAAAAAGCAACACAAAAAACACAAAAACTTGAAAGCAAAATATTCAGACAAGAATTTTCAAAAAATGCTTTTCTGACTGTTAGAATCCCTATTTGCACTGCAAATTCGGACGCTACAGGCGCCGACGCCCAGACCCCGCGGGCGCCACCGATACCCCGCGGTGGTTGGCGGTCGGGAGTACTCCCCGACTGCTGCCGCCACCTGGCGGGCGCCGCCGCCCAACTGACCTACTGCCCTACACGCCGGGGAGGGGGGCATCCCCCACGGGTGCCTCTGATCAGCGCGGACACGCTCATCGCCCTGGATGGGATTAGGGGTCGCGGGGCAGCGGCGCGGAGGGGGCGAGCGCGGCGCTGATAGAAACCGAGCGAGAGGGCCGCGGAGGCGGAGGGGTTGAACGGAGTGGGGAGAGCGAGGAGAGAGGTGGGGAGAGCGAGGAGCTGGAGAGGCGACTCAACCGCGACAACGGGGTCGTTCATTTTTTTTTTTTTTTTAATACTTTTCATTAGACTACTGCTATGGTCCGCACTTTTCGTCCTCGCATCTCGTATGTCGTGGCAATTAACACCGCGGACAAGAGCAATGCAAAAAAAAATCTTTGTGTCCGTCCGGGAAAAGGGAGGTGGAAAAAAATATTAGTTCATACATACAGGGTGGTCCACAGACCCCTTTCTTTATTTTGCGTATACTGTACCGCATGCATGCGTGCGGGTGGGCTTGCCTACTGTCGCTCACCGTGGGCGCCTTATGGCCCCGTGCGAGTATGCAACCCATCCGCTCGCATGCATCCGGTACAGTATAAGCAAAATAAAGGAAGGGGTCTGTGGACCACCCTGTAGAAGAGAATTTAAAGTCGTCGCAAATTTGCGTCTTTTCCTCCTTCATTGTCTTTGTTTGTACACGTTACCTTGAGCTGGACGGGCTGGAAGGGGTCCTCGATGGCCAGCGTGAAGCTCTCGTCCCAGACGGGGTTGAGGTCGCGAGCGATGGTCTTCGACTTGTGCATGAGGCGGCCGCCGACCTTGAACTTGACGTACGGATCACTCGTCCCTGCGGGTTGGAAAGGAAACGACAACAATTAAGGCTCTCGGTTAATGAAGGAAAAGTCAGTGTTCACTGGAAACTGGAACCAAAAAGTGTGTGAATGTCGCACAGTTGTCGGTGTGGCAATGCCCATTCGTACACTTGAGCGAGTAAAAACGATGTATGACTTTTCCTTTGGAGTTCACACCCCCTCACTCACGAGTACGAAATGCCGTCCACACACCTACAAGTGCGCGACATTATTCTACCACTTCCTGGTGTTGTTTAATCATCGGCGAGGACCCACCGCTCTTGTCCCGCGCCACCAGGTCGGTGCCCCGCTTGAGGTGCACCCGCAGCTGGTAGAAGGCGTGCTGGAGGAGCGCCGCCCGCCGCCTCTGGGCCACCTCACACTCGCCCGGCTGGCCGCTCTGCAGAGAAAAACAAACACATGCGTCACAGAGTTGATCAAAGTTCGAATGGGAGCCGGTGTTTGTTTGCTTAAACGGACTGAGGGGTAGGATGTGGGCTCTTGGACTTCCAGGGTGTCGCAAGGTGAGCAAGACTGAAACCCGAATTTAGAGGCCTTACCATCAGGGGTACGATCGTATACCGAGTGCCGAGTCAATGGACAGTGTACGTACCGGGTGTAACTGTGAATGCGCAGCAGTGTTGCAGGATTGCATACCCGCCAGGGCTGCGGGGCCACGGCGCCTTACGGGCGGATTGGGTAGGCAAACCCGCAACACTGCTGCGCATTCACAGTTACACACGGTACAGCGACCCTACCAGCCATCGGAGGTGAGCCGTCTTTCTATTGTACTTGAACTTCAGGTTGGTCCTGAGGGCGCATACCAACACCAAGCGGAAAAGCGGGATATGTTGCCGAGCCTGGAGTCGAACCGTCAACCTCCCATCCTTTGGTCGGGCGCTGTACTGACTGAGCCATAGAGGCGGGATGAGGGCTCGTGTCACACTGGCCGGGTTGCATACTCGCACGGGCCCATAAGGCGGCGGTAGGCAAGTCCATCCGCACGCCTGCATACAGTACAGTATAACCAAAATAAGGGAGGGGGTGGTCTGAGGTCCACCCAGTATAATTTAGTTTTCTTCGTCATATGGGTTCGTCTCTCAGTTTACACAGAATTAACAACTTTTTCAAAAGAGCTCTTTTTTGAGTCGTTTTTATTTTCATGATATACTTCTCATTATTTATCATCATTATTTTATTGCGGCGAAAAGACGAAAACAAAACTTGGAAGAAGGAGCAGAAATAAGTCATCTCGTTTGCTGCAAGGTGCAAACACCACAGCGGCGGTGGACAAATATTTTAGGAGCAAACAGTGAGCTAATAAATTCATCACGCTGTGGCTTCCCTCGGCGGCCGGACGAAAATGAGGGGCGGCAGAGAGACGAGCGGCGCGAAGCGGTCCCGGAGGAGGGGAGAGGAGTGGGAGGCGGTGGGAGAGAAAAGCACCGTCCGGCTGGCTGGGGGCTGGGGGCAGGACGGGTCAACCGTGTTCGGAGAACGGGCCTCATTGCTTCAGCAGCAGAGCTTCAATTCAAAAGTTATCGCATAAAAAACAAAAATAAAAAAATCGTACCCCTCCATCAACATGAAACAGTAGTTTTAAACTTTGGCTCCACGTCAATATTTTCCGATATTTTCCTTGGAAGTCCTAGCTTCGCGACCGGCCGCGGCCTTGGCGCCTCTCTTCAGGTCGCGCCCTGTCGACACAACTAGAGCCTCTCCACTCCCGCCGCCCGTCCCGCAGCCGGCAGCACAAACCGCACAACACGGCCGAGAGAGGGCCGAGGTAGTCCGGAGGTCAAAGACGCAATTAACGAACGAACAGAGCCACCCCCTCCTGGTATGGTATGGCACTACATCACGATGCGCCCACTGGGGCGCGGCAGGGTAGGGTGGGGTGAGGCGGGGCGGGGCGGGGCGAGGCCGACTGGGATTCGGCTCGGCACGCGGAAGGAATGAAGGAGAGGAAGGGAGGGGGGGACAGGGATTACCTGACGGAGGGTTTGACAAGACCCCCATATTGATGGAAGGAGAGAGGAGGGATTCGAAACACGACCGCGCGAGAGGACGCGCGTGTGGGAGAGCGAGTGATTGAGAGAGAGAGAGAGAGAGAGAGAGAGAGAGAGAGAGAGAGACAGGGGAAGAGGAGGAGGAGAGAGAGAGAAAGAGTGGGGGGGGGAGAGGAGGAGGAGAGAGAGAGGAGGAGGATGAGAAAAGGGGAGATGGGAGAAAAAGAGGAGAGAGAGAGTGGGAGAGCTGGGTCAGGGGCGAGGCATCGAGAGAAATGACGCCCGGTGTGCGGTAGTCTCGCTCCCTGATCTCACTACGCAAGAGGGGCCCAGAACGCCCACGGCTCGGTGCCCTATGTAATTAGCGGTGGGTGCTGAGAGACGCCTTTACCTACCGCCCCACTTGCGGTAAACACTGTAAACCAGTCTACGGAGAAACAGTGATCAAGTAGTAGTCCCGCAGACCTCTCACCCGCCCTGGTGGTGGCGCCAAAACGTTCGGGTGTAGAGCCAGTGCGACACTTGTGGTCCCGGCTGACCCAGCTTACTTCTAATCAAAGGAACCCACAAAAAGTTATCTCCCAAAGTGCCGCATTTGCCCTGCTGAGAGCGACACTTTGGCCAACTGCGGCTAAGTCCCGCATGACCTCTTACCAAAGGAACCCAAAAACAGTTATTGCCATCTTGTGTAATCTTTATTCTTAAGGGAATTAGGAGGTACTAGGAGGAATTCCTCTGCTTAAGCAACGCTTCGTGATGCCAAAATAAGCAAAAAATGTATGCTTCGTAGGCCTACGATAAGAACAACGGGTTGTACTGACCACGAGGAGAACCGGGCCATCCGAGGACGTGCCCGGCTGCGACTGCAGCAGGTAGGACGCCGTCGCCGTCGACGTCGAGGCCGTGGCCGCTGAGGAGGTGGAGGCCGCCTGGGCCGCGGGCGACGGCGCTCTGACGGCCGGCCCGGCGCTGGCGCTGGACGCCTGCCGCCGCAGACGGTCCGGCGAGTCCTCCAGGGCGGCCACGCTGGCCGCGCTCAGGCCCGCGTCGTTGGCCGTCAGGTGGTGGCGGTGGCGCGGCGACTGGGTGGCCGACGACGAGTACTCGGACGAGTTGTCGGCCGCGTAGTCCGTCGAGTACGAGTCGTCGCCGCCGCCGGCCGCGCCCCCGAGGCCGTTGTCGCGGTGGTCGGCCTCGCCGCGGGCGCGCCGCCGCTCCCGAGATCGGCTGCGGTTCCAGCGGTTCTGCAAAACAATGAGAGCTCCATGTGGAAACGGATCCAGCAAAACTGGGAATCGCGAAGCGGCGTCTGTTTGAACTGCCCGTTCGCGGATATGTTAAATCAAACACTGACGAAGCCATTGCAACCATTATTGTAGAGGG